CGTTCATCTCCAAAGGATGAAGCGAGGTCCGCTAATCCGCAGGTGCTGACCTCCAAATGATTAAGAACCGGGCGAACAGGGGAACAGGGGAATAGGGAAGGGGGTGGCGGGGCAGAGAGGGTGGCGTGCAGAGGGGAGGGCAGGCAAGCGGGCAGGGGCTGAAGGGCTGGGAGGGCGGCAAGGGGAAGGGAAGGGGCAGGAGGGTGGCGCGCTGGGCAGAGTGGGCGCGGCGAGGGGGGGAAGGGGCAGAGGGTGTGGCGCGGCAGCTGGGGCAGAGGGGGTGGCGCGGCAGCTGGGGAAGGGCTGGCGGGGGGAGGGGGTGGCGTGCAGAGGGGCTGGCGGGGGAATGGGGCTGGCGGGAGAAGGAGGCGGGGGGGAAATGCAGAGGAGAGGAGAAGGGGAAAAGGAGGAGATGGGTGGCGGGAGGGGGAAGGAAGAAGAAGAAGAAGAAGAAGAAGAGGAAAAAAAAGAAAAAGGAAAAAAAGAAAAAGAAAGAGAAAGAAAAAAAAAGAAAAGGAAAAAAAATTCACCTTACAAAAACTTTTATAAAATTTTTTATCTTAACAAAACTTCTACAAAAAAGTTTTTCACCTTACAAAAATTTTTACAAAATTTTTTCAAAAACTTCTACAGTACACTACAGTAAAGTTTTAGACAAACTCCCTAAAAACTCAGGTTCCAAACAGGCCCATAATAAAGTTTGGCTGCTTTGTAACACAGTTACATCCTTTAGTTAGTGTTTAATTGGTCCATGTCACGATAATATGTGAAAATTTATACTCCAAACAATTGATGTTTGGAAGGTTGAAATGGACAAATCCAAGGTGGTCACGTACTCTTTTACCTGAACCATCATATTAACTTATTTACCATTTGACATTAGCCTTAGGCCTTGTCTGCAATTTCGTTTTTTAATAAAAATATATATTTTTTATAAACACATTTTTCGATTACTTAAAAATGCTGATCGAAGAGTTTTTGGTGTTTTATTACCATAAATTTATCACCAAAATATCAAATATCAATGAGTATCACTAATAGTTATTTCCATTGGCCAAAACTTAAGTTGATCTGGTCTTTATGGATTCAATGACCCAGATTGTGTTACATCATTTAGTGAAATTGTGTAACTCAATCTGGGCTATTAAGTGTTTGAAAACCGGATCTACTCAAGTGCGAGTCATTCCAATTTCCATTTATTGCCCTCGAAACCCATGAACCAAGCACGGGCCGGTTACATGCGTTTTTTTATATTACAAAGTACGGTCCAAGCTAATTTACGTCGCCTTATGTAAGTGAGGGGGTGTTTGTTTCACATATTGGAATCGGAAATGAAAATGGAATCATAGACTTTAGTTTTGGAATTAAACTTTTCATTCCAATATCTAACTTGGTTCACACATTGAAATTATCATCATTCCAATTTCTGATGCTTGGTTTGATGAGTGTTTCGGAATTAAATGTAATTAAATTCCAAATTTACCCATGATATAACAATTCTTATAAAATAAAAGGATAATTGCAGAAACTTGTAGGTTTTGTATTTAACAAAAATATGAGATTTTGTAAATTTTGAAGTTTAAGAAAGGGATATTTGAAGTTTAACAACCGTTATACAACTTTCAAAACAAACAAATTCATTCTAAATTTTTTTTGGGATAATTTCATAAACCAAATCGCGGTCACTTTCACAAAAGTCATATTTTCCCATAAAAGACCAGTTCTTTATGGCTTTCCTCCATTATAAGAACAGAGTACCCATTTTCCCATAAATAAATTTATTTATAGGATAAAATAAAAATAAACTCGTTTTTCAATGAAACACTAGTTCTTTATGATTTTCCTCCATTATAAGAACAGAGTATCTATTTTCTCATAAACAAATTTATTTATCGGATAAAATAAAAATAAACATGTTCTCCAATAAAACACCAGCTCTTTATGACTTTAGAATGAAGGGTTACAATGTCGCTGTCTCTATCACCATCAACTTTTGACTCTCTACTTCTTCCATCCCACCCAACACCAGAACGAAATACTATTATTTGCAGCATCTTCAATAGAAGTAAAAAATAATCTGATATTCTCATACCTACTGCATAGCCTATTCGTGAAGATGACAAAGTTTTTCAAGAATCGTAGATTCACTTCAAGGGTTGAGATTTGTTCCTTCAAAGACAGAATCAAATTGTCTTCAAACTTAAGCAACTCCTTCAGATTTACCAGAACGCAATCAAAAAATTCCACCAGAACTTCACCACTCATGGCATTGTTTGGTTCTAAGAAATGTTTTGCCCAATCAATAAAATCTTCTCCAATTTCCACCTTGGAAACTTCAACCTTTTCAAGCAAAGCATCTATTATATGGTCTAATTTCTCGTATAGGCTCTCGGATCTTGAAAAGCTGTTGCTACTATTTGTGAACCTGAACTTAGGATTTTGAAATGAGAAAGAAGATGTCCGATGAAGGTGATGGGCGGCGATTGATTGAAGAATAAGAGATAGGAAAACTGATGAAGAAGAAGACTCTGATTTTGTGCGGTGTGTGATGGAGAGAAAGAGAGGGTAGATCCGTTATAAATATTGTCTGAGAGAATGAGTTGAGAGTTTTGTCCAAAACCTCCCAATTTGCTCGGGAATGATTTTTTAGGAATGATTTTTTAGAAATGATTCCAAAAATGGCATTCCAATAGGCTTAACCCAAGCAACAAATAAGGGGTTTATTCCATTCTATGATTCCCAAACCCTTTAATCAAGTAGTCCCTGAGTTTGATAATAAAAAAAATTGACGATGAAGGGTAGAGAGCTGATATTCTGTTATTAATTCTTAGCAAATTACCGCATGTTCACTTTTCCCCCTCTTTTTACATGTTGTGTTTTGATTGTCTTCTATTTCACTTTATTTACACCTTATTTACATACACTGATTTGTTTGCATCATCAACACATTTTTCAATCACACTTTTATCTCACATACATCATATCAAAAAAGTACTACAGTACTTTTTCACAAAATTATTTCAAATAATTTACAATCCAAACACACTCGTAATGTTTGGTAAACGGTGCCTATATCTCATGTGTTAGTTTTTTTTTTTTTTGAAATAAGTGTAATTAATTTGTGAAATTATATAAATACAATAATGCAATAATTATGATTGTGTGTATTTATATGATAAATTAAGTATAATTTTAGAAGAATGAATGGGTTGGGTGATTTAGAAGGAAGGAATATAAGCAAGAAGTTTCGATTCGACCCCTCCCACTAATACTAAAAAATATGTAATTTAAGTATATTAACAAGTGTTCATTGAGCATTTATTGAAAAAAATTTTTTATTGTTTATATGATAATGTTAAAAAGTGTTTTTTGTTTCAAATGATTCTCATTAAAGCATATTGCAAAAAGTGTGATTTCTCCAAAATGACACTTCACAATATTTTACGTGGTCACCAGTTTCTTTTGTATCATTCTTTTTTTAAATATAGAAATACAATGAAAATGGCATGAAATAGTTAAGATTATGTGAAAAATGATAACCAACTTAAGTGCTAGTGTGCACCTCGGGCAATACTGACGAGGGGAAAAAATAAAAACATCCTAGGTCTTTTTTTTTCCTTCCCATTCCAAGGTCATTAAACTATTCAAATGATGTAAGTAATACTTTTGAAAAATCAATTTTTTAAAAATTTCAAATTGATTACTCAACTAGCAAAAATGTTACACTAATGACCAATCCAATGGATTTCATCGTGAAATCAACTTGAAAGCACTACAAGAGCAGATCATTTCTTCCACTTTCATTCGTTTTTTTGGGTAATACTCCCGCTTCCAGTCAATCATCAAATTTATTGAAAGATAAAAATTAATGGCGGATCAGATCAAAACAAAAGACTCTTACTGTCATATCCGCACTACTCTTTAAGACTCTATCCAGTAAATAAAAGCATAAATAAGAGTTACAACAGCCACCGGATAAAATTACCTATTCGTGTAGTGTTTTTTCGGCAGATTTAATAACGAAATTCATGAAAATGATCATCAATTAACACTTTTGTTAGTTGAATTACCAATTTGAAACTTTTATTAGTTGAATTACCAATCTACCATGTGGTATATTACATTTGTAGTATCTCATGCGTTTTTGTTGTTGTTGTTGTTAATGTCACGCTCTTGTTTCTACAATGTGATTTATCGTAATATACCACGTTATAGAATTTCCCTAAAAAATATATCATTTCAATAGTTTAATGGATTGGAATTTTTTTTCCCTATTAATAATTGTTCCACTTCTCCATTTCTTTTTCTCGATTGATCTCATACATTTACTAGCACCAAAAATGAAAAGAATGCCATAATATAATTACGATAGAAATTAGAAGGTACTAACTACTAGGGGAAAATGGATGGATCAGATGATATAAGGGAAGAGCGAGAGATCTGATTCAAAACATTTTACTTTTTTATATATATATATATATATATATAAAGTAGTACTAAAATAATAAAGGGAAAAAAAAGGGCGCTGGTGACTTCAGCATCTGCACGTCACGCTCCTGTAGGCACTACAGGAGTTGTGGCTTGGGCTCCAAGCAAAGCCAGAATTGAATAATTCGGGTCCATTTGGGCAAATCCGTACGTTCTACATTTCATCGTCACCCTTTCGAAAGCGTGCGCTGATGGAGAGTGACAGAAATAGAATCGTACACTCTAGAGTGACGTGTAAACAGCGGTTGTACGTCATGTGAATCACGTGCATGCTAGCGTCATAATGAGCAGTGACAAGGGACCACCCTCCCCAGCGCCATCTATGTTAGTACAAAAAAAAAAAAAAGTGGAATAATGTCACATACCTCCCCCAACAACATTTACCATTATTGCACAAACCTCCCCTCTGGTATTAAAGATTACAACATACACCTACCTAGTACCTCCCTGCCCTGCTTGTCTGCATCGACAAAAATTCCGCAGAATTTTGCTCTGATTTTCTTAAGGTAACCTTTTTCTTATTATTTGGAAACAATTAATTTCAACCATTTTTTCTCCAAATTATGCAAACCACTGCTCTTGTCTTGTTACCCCCTCACTCCAGGGAAAAAAGAAAAAGAAAAAAGAAAAACTGCCTTCCACGGTAGCCAATAACATTCCTCCTCCCCACGCCGCCTTCCGACCCGACCATCACAGTCCAACAACCCAAATCCACCAAATGGAACTAGAACTGAGACAAGCATTTTCCACGGGTCAACAGGGGCAAGTGAGTCTAGATTAGCCCAAGGGTAGGACTGTGAGTGATACTGGTGTAATTACAGTTAGCAACTTCGAAGGTCCAATTGGAGGAGATTTTGGAGTCCAATTACTATAATTACATGTTCAGATACTCCAATAAAGTAATTACCGCGACAATAATCGCTACAAGCAAGACAATTCATTAAGACAGAGATGGTGCTGGGCCGGATTAACTATAAGAGCCAAACAGGGCTTGGGCAGAGTAGATACAATAAGCCGACCACGGATGTTAAAGTGAAGATCCTTCATCCATGCTGGCCTGCAAGCGTGACAGAGCCAGCATAACTGCATAAGGGTAAGGGGTCCAACGCACGCTGGTTTCTTTAGCATACAATAATATACCTGAAATTTTGTTGCAATTGTAAGTTTTGAACATTGTTCTGCTGTTACTTCTTTTCATGCTCAATCTGCAATCTGAACACATGCTTCTTTATACCGTCCCTAGAGCAGAGAAGAATCTCTATCACCACCATCGTCATGGTCAAAAATTCAAGATTTTCGAAAGCATACTCCAGAGTTTTTAATGCAGACGTAGGGGACCACCATACGCTTCTAGCAATTCCTATTCAAGAGTTTGGTCTGATCATAACCCAGAGAGACTCGAAAATTAGAAAGCAGGAAAACGTTTCATACTTCAGCAGTCGAATTACCTAAACCAACTGAGAACAACACTTTGGCCTTCAAGTCAAATATAAAACATACATCAGCATATTCTAAATATGCTACAGAAAATGTTTCCAGTGGTTTGAAAGACCTCATTCCTGGAATAGTTGATCATATGACTCAAGGCACATGTAGCTTGCACTGCTATGTTTTCTCTTTACACTTTATTACGCATTTATAAGGTATGTACCAATGCTTGTCAGGTCTATGTACTCCTAAAAAGCAAGAAAATGTTTCAGGACTTTTGTTGCCATTCCTGAATTGCATAGTAAAGAGCGTAGTTAGGAAGCAGATCGCAATGATCGAGCTGTAGGTTTGTCATAGGTGAAGTCTTGTGACCGCTGTTCAGCCATCCTTTTATTGCATCGCCTTCATATGTAAAACCATCAGCTGCTATGTGTGGATCCTTCATTACTTCCTACAAATTCAAACCCAGAACAAGCATATCAGCGAAAAGCAAAAAGGCTCAAAAGCTGACAGCCTTTTCTGTACATCAGACTTTGAAAACAAGAAATGATGCAATTATTCCGGCAAATATTGTGATTTCCTAACTAGGCCTCCCCAAGGCACTCTAATCACCAATCACTTGCTGCAGCACCACCAACTGGAAACTTACTCATGAATTTAACAGATAGGGCAAAAAAGCATGGTGATTTTGTTTCATGGAAATGGTAGTCATGCAAGATACAGAATAATACCAATTACAGTCAGATAATCAGAGCATGCCACCCTAATGTTAACTCAAAGTCCGTAATGTCCTAAACTGCACAGCTTGTGCAAGCGATGCATAATTTCGAGTAATTCTCAGGATTACCTGAAATATGGGACAGACAAAATTAGAAGGAATCCGTTGCTGAGCAGTCAAATCCAAGCGCGAAGAAGTTGAACCCAAGCATGACAAAGTGCACAAGTCTCTCATAGGTTCAATTACAGGCCAAACTTCTGCCACTAGGTCTGGTTGATTGAGTCGGTTCTCCTCACAGCACCTTAATGCCAAAAAAGCCAACAGTGTCACTTGCTCAAGGGGCCAGTCACCAGCTGAATGGTCCAAAACAGTACTTACATTCCCAACTTCCATGGCACACCGCATATCTCTAATTATACTGGAGGCAGGTCTTGCTGTTAAAAGTTGTAATAGTATTATTCCAAACGAGTATACATCAGATTCTGTCACATGCCTTCCATCAACATATTCTGGTTCGAGATATATAGAAGCCTCCAAGTCATTCTTACCATATGGATTCTCATCATTTTGGAAGTTTTTGATACCTAAGTCACTTATTTTGCTGACAAAATTGGCATCAAGAAGGATGTTGCTAAGCTTTAGATTACCATGGACTATACTGCTTTTGTGTGCATGCAGGAAGATGAGGGCAGAGCATATCTCGCTAGCAATTCTTAGGCGAAGTTGCCAGGGAAGAGAACGACTTTTCAAATGGCCAGCAAGGTGATCTTCAAGGCTTCCATTTTCAAGGTACTCATAAATAAGTGACCTAGATTCAGTACAGGCACAAAGCAGTGTGACAAGGTTTGGATGCCTGACCCTGCTTAAAATTTCTGCCTGTGTCAATCAAACAAATATGGAAACAGTTAATAACAACTATTTACTTGGTACACAATGACTCACGGAAATTTCATCTAGAATTCTGAATGCCCTGATGAACCATTTCTACCTAATAACCATCAAGCATGGGATTATTCATCTTCTCCAGTTAAGATGTTCACTTGGCAAGCATCCAAAGCTCATCACCCCAGTGACAAAGTACAGATTACATCTTCAAAAATTTACCCAGTTTTATTTGCTTACATCATCATTACAATTTCCAATACACCTTTTTATCTTCCCAATTACCTTTTTATCTCACATACATCACATCACAAAAAGTGTTACAGTAAAAATATCCCAAATAATCCCAAATAACTTACAATCCAAACAATGCTTTATCTTCTGGTTGACAGTGACGTTACAAAACACATTTGCAGTAACTTCTCCAACTGTATACAGAGATCATGTATGATAGGGTTAAAAGAGAACTTTTATTTTTTTTAGGGAGGGGAACTTCAAATCCTACACAAGCAGAGGAATAAAGCTGCATTGCGTTTTCCCCTGCAGCTTACATGAACAGTCACATTACACCTTTTCTATGTAATTGCTAAGGTGCACATACAAGGATTATTTTTACTGCATTTTCAAAAGATTTGAGTAGGGCAATTTGAATGATTGGTCTTAACTACAACATAAACCACTGTCTTCCAACTAGCCATACTGCACAATACTGCTGGCTGGTATCCATAATTTGAGCTAATTTCCCATGCGCTCTTTTTGTTTAGTAGAAAAAGATAATATGGATATGAGTTGCCAATCTTAGTACCTGTGCTTTGAGCATTTATCATGATGAGCAATGGATAAATTCTGTTCCTTTGTGCTAATGTGCACAATTTGCATAGTTAAGTAGGGCCTTTGTCATTTAAAAAAAAAAAAAAGAAGGTAGGCCCTTTGTCCACATATTGTAAAGCTTTCACCAATACCAATTCAATTCATTGTTTCCAAGAAAAAAAATAGCCATACTGCATAACACATAACACTACATAAAGATGGAAAAATTCCACATTCATGTTCAGCTTTTACAAAATAAAACTATGTCTGAACAAAGATAGGACAACTTCACTCATGGCGACTAATTATTGAACCTAGAAGATGAAATGGCAGCCCATGGAGTAAACTAAGGAGGCAAATGAATTTAAATTATTAGTAAAGTCACCACTATGAAAGTACCCCAGAGACCCAAAAAGATGGTATAAGGTTTGATAATGCCAAAGGTTTTTCCTTTCCTTTGTGGGGAATGGAATAAGTCCTACCAGTTTAAAATGTACTTTTTTCGATCAAATTCTTTCACACTATAAACAACAGGAATAAACTCCAGAACAGCAAATGCAATGCAATTTATCTTTTTTCTAAAGAAATTGCATTCATCTAGATAGGATAGTTCATGTCAAGAGTAAGGGATTTTACCTTGTGTTCAAAATCGGAATCACTTTGAGAACCACAAGAGGGCAACATCTTTATAGCTACCTTGACATGGTGAATTATTCCCTTGTAAACACTCCCAAATCTTCCCTCTCCAATCTTCATCGATGGATCAAAAGTTCGAGTAGCCTCAATGATCTCCGAGAAAGAAATATCAAAGAAATGAGAGACATGCATGGCACAAACATCTTCTTTTACCATTTTTTGAAACTTATGAGATTCTCTTAATGCCCTTTCCTGCTCTTTCCATAGCAGATCACGCTTCCCCTTGAAACTTATCAAGAGTTTCACTGCTTGTAGAATCTTCTCCTCTAACTCCTCCTCTGTAGAACAGTTTTCCATGAATTTTCTTTCTAAAGAAAGCTTTTGGTTCTGGACCAGCTGAAGTTCCTTTACGATTTGATTGTGCTTATTTTTCATTTTTTCTAGTTCTTGCCTTTGCTTTTTCAGCAAATCTTCCATATAACTTCTCGAGTTAATCTCTTTCAAGTAAAAAGTCTCTGATGCTTCAGCCTATCATAATGCATAAGAATGAAGGATGAGAGATAAGTAATAGAAGATGCAGATCATTTTGCTATGTTCTAGATTAGCTTCTCAAGAAATAGTCAATAAATTCATTTTGGAAGCTAGTAGGTAAGTGCTTTAATGCAAATGGTTGTACATATATCTCTTTGATAACAGAAGAGTGAAATAAAAAAATAAACTGACACATAAACAAAAAGCACAGTTCATTAAAAAAACTTAAATTTGTATATGCAGCTATTGGCCAAATTATGCATATGAAGGGCAGAAGCAAGAGCTGTTCTAAAACATCCCAAGTTTTTTCAGGTGCCCCTGCCTTTTCAGGGTAAGAAGGGGCAGAGAAAATGCCTCAAGTTTGATCAAACAAATTCTTCAGCTATGCATCTTCCAAGCACTGTTCTAAAAAATGCAAGTATTTTACTCCCATAATAGCATGTACTTTACAGAGATATAACAACAATAAAACTGAAAAAGAAGGCAGTAGACGAGGAGGAAGGAAAGAAACATATGAACTTTGATCAAACAAAGCTACCGTGTATGTTTCCAACATATCTCTGTCACCTCTCCATCCTCTTACTGGCTCCTCAGTTTGCCTCTGCTTAGACTTTTCAGCATCTATAATAGCACACTCTGATTGATTATCAATCCTTCCTTTCACTTCAAGTTTATCTCCCTGGAATCACTTCCCCAACAAGTTAGGAGTTGGTGATCACTAAATAACTGTCTCAGTAACTACCATGTTGTAGTAATCCCCAAAAGTCTCACATCCAATCATACTGGAACATTTCAGTAGGCATAAAGAAATATGGCCCCCAAACATACAAAGCAGGGGTTTTAAATGATTGGCAAAAATATAGTGAAACAACGCTTTTGATTCAATTTTGCTTATAAATGAATATTAAGAAAGAATCCTTCATCAAGTTCATTCAACTTCAGTGACTCTTGAAAATAGCAAGGGAAATGCTCTCTGTTTCAAAATTCAAAAGCTGCATGATTACCAACAACTTGACTTTCAATTGAAATAAGCATGCATACCAGAAAATCTACGGATGAAGAAAAAGGTGAATCTTGCGAATTGCTTGGTAAGTATAATGATGAGCCATCGCCAGTCATTGAATGTGGTAAGTATAATGATGAGCCATCTCCAGTCATTGAATGTGTTAAATTCTGACCATGAACCATGTTTTCTTCAAATTCAGACACTGTAATCTTAACATCTTTGTCAGCATCTTCTTTATGATGTTGCAAAAATGATGTCACCTTGTTTGTTTTAGAAGATAATGGCACAACCCCAGCTAAATGAGATCCAATTTCATCAGACCTAGCTCAAGAAAAGGATTACAAACCTGTATTAGTAAACCTTGACAATGATTCTTTAATACATGCAACCAAAGTCATACTGTGTACAACAATGATTTTACATTCCCTTTTTATCATAGTTGAGTTGTTATATACTAACATCTACATTTGTTCTCCCCTTAACTTTTTGTTAAGTCAGTGTTTTTATTCTTCTCTTCATCATTTCGAAAGTACAGCAGCTCAAAATGACAAAATGATGTTTAGATAAGAATATGTACTCTTAGAACAAAATCCGCATGCCTACTGGGTAATGCAAAAGAAACATGAAACTAAGGCAATCCTTGTCCATGGACTGGAAAATTGACAGTTTGAAACATAAAGAGCCACAGAAAGCAGAGAAAATTAAGGATCTTAAATTAGTAAGAAAAGTTACAGAACAAGTCCTGACACTATCTAGGGCAAAAGAGTTCGGAAGGGTCCACTACAGTTTTTTCAAAATAATGGACATTACAATGGAAAAGCTGCTTCACAGTA